GTGTTCACATGTAAAGACTGGGCCAATCACAGCTAGTGATACAATTGTTTGCAATCCACGATATGAAAGGACGCCCCATCCATGGATTACAATTGTCATTTTTTGCTGGCTGATAGCTAAAAAGAGTGGGAAATTTGAGTGGAGAGTGAAAAAGTTTTACTTTTGACTGTTGGCGATTGCTGGTGCTTGTAGTTTTATTTTTTTCTTTGGGTCTTGCTATTTAAAAAGTGACAGTGATTTAAAAAGTAAATTCTTTTAGCATTTTTTTCATCCTTTCCTTATCTTCCTTCAGTCTACTAATTAAGGGGAGGGGTTAAATGGTCATAGGTGATACAGGTACTAAATAAAAATTGCTGTAGAGCTCACTCTGAGCTTACTCATTCTTGAGCTTGCCTGTATTTTGCTTGCTGGACATTTGACTAAGTGGAGTTAAAAAACTGGAGTTGAAAAACAGGAGATTATAACAGGAGTCTACTAACCTGTAAGTGACTAATGATATTTTCTATTAATATTGTAACTGGGATATGTGTGCTAGCATGGTTGAAGGTTTCGTGCAATGCAGTGTGCAGCATGTATGCAACAATGGAGCAACAGCTCCAGGATGGATACCGGTGTGACAAATGTAAGTGGGGTGCCCTTCAGGAAACTCACATTAAGAGATCTGGAGGAGCAAGTTGCAATATTGGGCAGAACCGACAACCTTGAAAGAGGTCTTCTGCTCTCTGAGCAGGTAGCTAATGGAATTGATGTGGAGGGCGGAGAGGCAAATCAGAATTACTAGGTAGGAAGATGAGTTACTGTAACGAGATGGAGTGGTAGGGGCTCACAGAAAAGGAAGGCAGGCCCTGGGTTTGTGCACCCAAACAGATTTGCCAAGTTGGGTGAAGATGTGGGGGTGGCAAGCTCAGGGGTGGCAGCCCTGGATGTCACTGCTATCCCTAACAGCCGGGAGGGCATCTGGGAGGGGTGGTGTGGGTAGTGCAGGAAGGCCTAGACAGCTGGTGGTAGTAAGGGATTCTATAATCAGAAGGACTGAATAATTTGTTGCCAGGAACGCCTCAACCGAATGGTTTGCTGTCTCCTTGGTGCCAGGGTTCGGCATGTGGTGGACTGGGTTGATAAATTACTGGGAGGGGCTGGGCATGACCCAGCTGTCTTGGTCCATGTTTGAACCAATGACAGAATACATAGAAGGTGGAGGCTACTTAAAAATCAATTTAAAGAACCAGGCTTCAAGTTGAAGGGAAGAACCTCCAAGGTAATATTTTCTGAAATATTACCTGTGCCATGCGCAACTCAGGAAAGACAGGGAGAGATTACAGAACTCAATGCATGGCTAAAGAGCTGGTATAAGAGCGAAGGATATGGGGTTCTAGAGAACTGGGCCGACTCATCACTGGGGTGCAGCCTATATGCTAGAGATGGTTTGCACCTAAATGGAAGAGGGTCTGCTGTGCTGGGGAGAGGTTTATGGGAGGGCTGGAGGAGTATTTAAACTAGGATTGAGGGAGGAGGGAGAATTAGATTATAATGGGGTAATTAGATCAGACAGGGGTCAGTACTTATTGGTGGATGTCTGTCTCTATGTGAGAAGTAATCTGAGAGAGAGTGTGAAAGAGGACCTAGTTGATGAAGAGTGTGATGAGGCTGAAGCATTATGGGTAGAACTGCACATCAGGGTGCGTACTACAAAGGTAATAATTGGAGTTTGATATAGGCCTCCCAGTGTTAATGCTCCTTGCACAGATCGAAAGGGCTGGGACAGTGATAATGAGGGATTTTAACTACCCGGAGGTTGACTGGGGTAATGGTACTACAGGAACAGTTAAAGAGCAAAAATGTATAAACCAACTATAGGACAATTTTATGGTACAGTTCATAGAGGCCCCAACTAGGAATGATGCTCTGCTGGACCTTGTAATCTCAAACCATGCAGAGCTTATTACAAATGTTCATATAAAAACATCTGGGTAGCAGTGACCATAACATTATTTCATTTATTATTGTTAGCTGTAAACAGCAAGCACACATGGGAAAAAAAAAAGGTTACATTTTAAGAGCTAATTTTCCAAGACTGAGAGCTGCTCTCCAAGACTTAGATTGGGAGGGAATATTGGCATCAATGCACACAACACAGAAATGGGAATTGTTCAAAAAGACTATGTGAATACAATGCAAAATATTTTCCCATGGGCAACAAGTTTAAAAGGATAAAAATCAAACCTATGTGGCTTACGACCAAAGTTAAAAAAAAAGCTATAGATAAGAAAATAGGTTTTATTAAACATAAAATGAAGGAAAGCGATTATATTCTTTGTAATGTTTAAACAATAACACAATATGCAAAAAGGAAACAAAGGCCATAAAAATTGAAAACGAACGACAGATTAGAAACAATAGCAGGACCAACCCCCAAAAATTCTTCAAATATATTAATAGTGAAAAGGTCTGGTCCGAGCATGTAGGCCCTTTACAAAATAATCTAGAGTGGGTGACTGGGGACAAAGAGAAGGCAAATTTACTAAATACCTTCTTCAGCTCTACAGGAGCATGGGGGAGCTCTTGCCCATAATGGGCATGGTAATGACACAGCTCCAGATGATCCACATTGGCTCACAACTGATATGGTCCAAAAATATTTAGACAGCATTAAGGTGAATAAAGCACCCGGACCGGATGGCATACACCCATGGGTCCTTAAAGAATTGAGCTCTGTCATTTCAAAGCCATTGTTTCTAATTTTTAGGGACTCTTTAATGACTGGCATAGTACCACTTGATTGGAGTAAGGCAAATGTGGTGCCAATATTTAAAAAGGGGTCAAAATCTTTACCAAGTAATTATAGATCTGTTAGTTCAACGTCTATAGTTGGGAAGATACTGGAGAGTTTAATAAAAGACCACATAGATGAGTTCTTCCTGGAAAAAAATATTTTAAGCAACAAACAGCATGGATTCATGAAAGACAGAAGTTGGCAAACAAATCTGATTTCTTTTTATAAGGGGGTGAGCAAAACCTTGGACAAAGGAGTGGTGGTGGAAGTGGTATACTTGGATTTTGCAAAACCATTTGACACAGTTCCCCACACATAGTTAATGTGTAAGGTAAAGTCTACAGGCTTGGAAAAATCAGTATGTAAATGGATAGAACACTGGCTAAAAGTTTGTATTCAGAGAGTAGAGGTTAATTATTATTATTATACAGTGTTTATATAGCGCCAAAGGGTTTGCTCAGCATGTACATTAGTGTGGGGGACAGAACATGAGACAAAACAGTACAATACAATACACGAGGGGTTCGAGGGCCCTGCTCTTTCGAGCTTACAATCTAGGAGGGAGGGGATAGTGGTACAGGAGGAAGTGGCTGTGGGGGATGGAGTGGTAGGAGTGGAGGAGATTGGTTGTTAGGTGAGGGTGGGGTAGGCTTCCCTGAAGAGATGGGTTTTTAGGGTGCGCCTGAAGGTGAGGAGGGTAGGTGACAGTGTGATGGATTGGGGTAGGGAGTTCCAGAGGATGGGGGAAGTCCTGGAGAAGTCCTGCAATCGGGCGTGGGAGGGAGTGGGAGGAGGAGACCAAGGAGCAAGAGAGTAGGAGGTCCTGTGAGGAGCGAAGGGCATGGGTAGGGTGGTATTTGGGTATCAGGTCAGTTAGGTAGTTTGGGGCAGCGTTGTGAATGGCTTTGTATGTCAGAGTTAGTAGTTTGAATTTAATGCGTTGGGCAATCGGGAGCCAGTGAAGGGATTGCAGAGGGGGGTGGCAGAAGTGGAGCAGTTGGTGAGGTGGATGAGTCTAGCCACTGAGTTTAGGATAGACTGGAGTGGGGATAGCATTTTTTTGGGAAGGCCAGTGAGGAGGGAGTGCAGTAGTCCAGGCGTGAGATGAGGGAGTGTACGAGTTATTTAGCAGTGTCTGGGGTGAGGAACGTACGTATCTTGGAGATGTTGCGAAGGTGGAGCCTGCATGACTTTGATAGTGATTGGACATGAGGTTGGAAGGAAAGGTTTGAGTCCAGGGTGACACCCAGGACTTTGGTGTGTGGGGTGGGATTGATGGTGGCGTTGCTAGTCGTGATGGAGAGGATGGATGGGAGGGGGGGGGGGGGGGAAACTAGGAGCTCGGTTTTGGACAGGTTTAACTTGAGGAAATGGAGCGACATCCAGTCTGATATGTCATTCAGCAGGTGGGCAATGCGGGCGGGGGGTGAGTTGAGGGGTGGAGAGGTAAATTTTGTGTATCATCGGCATAGAGGTGATAGTTGAAGCCGTGGGAATGTATCAGTTTACCAAGGGAGGAGGTGTAGATAGAGAAGAGGAGGGGTCCGAGGACAGAGCCTTGGGGGACACCGACAGAGGGGGAGGTGGCAGCGTTATAGGTAAACGCTGAAGGAACGTTGGGATAGGTAGGAGGAGAACCAGGAGAGAGCAGCGTCCCTGATGCCAAAGGAGTGCAGTTTAGTAAGGAGGAGGGGGTGGTCGACTGTGTCGAAGGCCGCGGAGAGGTCGAGGAGCAGGAGGACTGAGTAGTGGCCATTAGCTTTGGCGGTTAGCAGGTCGTTAGTGATTTTAAGTAGGGCGGTTTTGGTGGAGTGTTAGGGGATGGAAGCCAGACTGCAGTGGATCAAGGAGGTTGTTATCAGTAAGGTGGGCGCTTAGGCTATTGCAGGCCAAGCGCTCAAGGAGCTTGGAAGTGAATGGCAGCAGGGAGATGGGTCTGAGGTTGTTTAGGTCCGTGGAGTCAAGGGAGGGTTTTTTTGAGTATGGTTAATGACTCTGAATGGTCTAGGGCAAGGGTGGGCAACTGAGGTCCTACAGCTGTTGGTGAACTACAAATCCCATCATGCCTCTGCCTTTGGGAGTCATGTTTGCAACGGTCAGTTTTGTAATGCCTCATGGGACTTTTAGTTGTACAACAGCTGGAGGGCCACAGTTGCCCACCCCTGGTCTAGGGTGGTCAGTGGTGTACCCCAAGATTCAGAGTTGCGACCCTTACTTTGATGATCAGCAGTGCCGCCCACCTCTGCCAGCAGTGCCGCATACCAGTGACGCCAGTCAGTGGTGCCCATCAGTGTTGCCTGTAAGCGCCGCTCCGTTTGCGCCTATCAGTGCGGCCTCATCAGCGCACATCAGTGAAGGAAAAAAAATTACCTGTCTGCAAAATTTTAGAATAGAAACAAAGAAAATGTTTTTTTTTCCAAAATTTGTTTGCTCTTTTTTTGTTTATAGCGCAATAAAGAAAACACCCAGCGGCGATTAAATACCACCAAAAGAAAGCTCTATTTGTGTGAAAACAATGCTAAAAATTTAATATAGGTACAATGTTGCATGACCGAGCAATTGTCATTCAAAGTACGACAGCGCTGAAAATTGGCCTGGACATGAAGGGGGTACAAGTATAAGTGCCCGGCAAGCAAGTGGTTAATATATTTATAAACGATATAGGGTCTGGGATTATAAATATCATTTCAGTCTTTGCAGATGACACCAAGCTGTCCAGTGGAATAATGTCCTTACATGATGTCTCCAACTTACAAGCCGACTTCAATGCACTGTTTAATTGGGCAATTATGAGGCAAATGAGGTTTAATCTTGATAAATGTAAGGTTATGCACTTGGGGGCTAAGAATATGCATGCATCATACATACTAGGGGGTTGGTACAACTGGGGGAATCAATGGTGGAGAAGGATCTGGGAGTTCTGGTAGATCACAAGCTTAATAATGGCATGCAATGCCACGCTGCAAAATCCTCTCTTGTATTAAGAGGTATAGACTCCAGAGAGAAATCAAATTACCCCTGTACTAATCAGTAAAACCTCATCTGGAATATGCAGTTCAGTTTTGGGCACCAAATCACAAAAAGAAAATTGGGGAACTAGAGAAAGTACAGAGATGGGCAACCAAACTGATAAGAGGCATGGAGGAGCTCAGCTATGAGGAGATAAGAAATTAATTTATGCTCTCTTAAAAGGAGATCAAGGGGGGATATGATCAACATGTATAATTACATCAGTGGTTCATATAATGAACTCGGTGTAGTTATTCAGAGTGAGGTCATCACAGAGGACACTCTTGACGTCTGGAGGAAAATAAATTTAATCTCGAAACACGGAAAGGTTTCTTCACAGTGAGAGCTGTGAAAATGTGGAATAGACTCCCTCAAGAGTTGGTTCTGGCCAGCTCAGTGGACTGGTCTGGATTCTTTCTTGGATACATAGAATTTAACTGGATACTAACATTTATAGGTAAAGTTTATCCAGGGAATATCCGATTGCCTCTCAGGGGATCAGGAAGGATTTTGTTCCCCTGCAGGAGCAAATTGCATCATGTTTTGCTGGATTTTTTTGCCTTCCTCCAAATCAACTGTGGGTGCAGAATTAAATTTTTTATATTTTTTTTTTTTTTTTTTTTTTTTTTTTTTTTTAAATGGTTTAACTGGATGAACTTTTGTCTTTTTCAGCCAAACTATGTGACCTGCTGCGATTGGTCACAACAGGTCACATGGTACTGGCAATGGGCCGGTACACAGATCTGTCATCGGCTGTGTCCAAGATACACAGCCGGTGACAGATCTCGCCACAGTACAGCCCTGTGGGCAAGAGCAAGGCACGATCTGGGAAGGACATCATATGACCCACCCGGATTGACGAGAGTCCCACTCGACTGTCATTCTGCTATTGGCCAGGCGAGAACAGAACAGGTTTAAGAAGGTAAATATATGGTCTGGCATCAGAATTATTCTACCCAGGAGGGTAGCTAAAAAAGATCCTTAAAAGCAGAACTACAAGCAAAACATTTTGTTCCCATTTTGAAAAGGGTAAGGGAGAGTTATAACCTTTGTCAGTTTGTTTTGCCTTCTGTGTCCCATTAGGGTTTTTTCCCCCTTCACTACCTGTCCTCTAGCCAAAGCAGGAAGTGACAAAAAAATCCTCCTGTGCCCTTACTGGAAGGATTTTCCCTCTATTTCTGTTCTTGTAACAACCCAAAATGTGGGATTCTCTTTCACTTTTACTTATAATGATAAAGAGGACAAATAGGATGAATCTCCCCAACAGGAACACAGCCAGCAATAAAAAGTGACAGGTGTTATAATCCCTCTCTAGCGTATCCAAAACTAAAATAAATGAAAACGTTTATGCCTTTAGATATACTTTAACAGAAAGCAACTGTAGATCATCAGCCCCTTAGTTGTTACTGCCAAAGCAAAGTTATTAAGAGTCCAATTATAATAGAGGTTTCCAGAATCTGTTCAAAAACAAAAACCAAGATGAAGTGGTTGCAAACTTCTAAAATGAAAAAGTGAACAATGAACAAAGCATGTCCTTCTACAGTGTGCACTTGCCTTAATCCAAATCGCCCAGTGAGATTTCTTTCTGCTTTGCAATCTACACAAGTCAATTCTGACAGTCTGTGCTGGCACCAGACAATACCGAGAGAAAGGAAGAAAAGGTCTTCAAAACCTTGGCATAGATCTTTGTTGTGGTAATTTTATGGCTCCTGAGAAGAGTGCCAACACTGTATGAGCATATAGTTACATCCTTTATGATAAGGTTGAAAAGAGGCAAAAGGTCCATCAAGTTCAACCTACATCTATGAATCTCTAATAGTAGCCCTATATATTCTACTTTTTGTGAAAGACATCAAAGCTTTTTGAAGTTGTGGACACCTCACTTTTTCCTTCCTGGGGGAAGGTGTTTCACATTTTTATTGCTTTACCAGTAAAGAGTCCTTTCCCAGATCTAAGGTTAAACCTCCTTTCTGCTAACCACAATTGGGGCCACATGCCCTCTTTCAGGTGCTCACGTTCATTGTCATCTTTACTGGCAGACCTGCTTCCAGGTTCATACAGTAGAAGATTCACAGGTTCTTGCAACCAGGCTAAATCTAGGCAAACTGCAAGAAGGACCGGAGGTTATATCTGAAGTGAAGCTGCACCCAGGTGACTACTGGTAAGGAGGCCATCATCAAACCTATCAGTCTCATGATCTGACAAACAAATGCATGTGTTCCTACTATTTCAGTTGTGGAAAGAAACCTTTTGAGACACAGAACCTGACATCCCCAGGAATGTTCTGTTCTATAAAATACTTTTCCAGTTTGATCTCTACCCCAGTATCTGTACAGTGTCTAGAACTGTATGGAGCTCTGATTATGTTTCTATAGACTGGGCTTACGACAGAACTGTCCTCCAGGAGGGAAAAACTACAACCCAATAAATGCAAAAATGTGTCAACACTTTTGCTAGAGATTTGTTAAATATTCCAACTGCCGGGGGCATGGCTTGCCTGAAAAGATGGATGGATGCGGAGAGCTGCAGTACACTCATACACCAAGCCAGGCATAAATCCTGACCCTAATACAGTGAAAATCTGTCAGACGGCTACCACTTCCTTGTGTTGACCTGCATAATGGATGATGGTGATATTGATGGATGACCGACGATGACGATAGGTAGACTAAGTCACTATCTGTGATGGAGAAGCTGTCCCACTTTCACCTATCCCAAGACAGCATTGCAGATTCCTCTCAACAAGGGCTTCTTGAACATTCATTGGCATCCAATGACTTAGTTAAGCAACCACAGTTCTGTCTGGGAAGGTATGAACTGTCTGCACCACATCATCTGCCAGAGCTGGTACTGACTGTTCCCTCAACAGAATGTAGTCCCCACAATAGGGGATGCCTGTGAAGCACAGAAAGGTGAGTACAGAGGTCATTACTTGGTGAAACACTTGAGGTGTGGAAGACAGGCCAAATGGTAGTGCCACAAACAGCAAGTGGCAGAGACACACACTCAGCATAGAAGCCAATGATGCTCTGGCGAAAGGGGGAATATGCAAGAAACCAGCCTTAATGACCACAGAGGCCAGAAAGTCTCCTTGATGGTTAGAGGTTGCAGCAGACCTGGTGGACTTTTTGTGGAATTTCAGGGCAAAAATTAGGACATATAGGGCCTGGGGATCCAAGATGGGATAGATACTCCAGGGATGTTGGATTCCTATTGCTCGTTGCCTGGGACATGTAGTTCCAGGCACTGGGTAGGTAGTTTCTTTCTACCTTTAACCCTGCTGCAGGCAAGCAGCAGGGCTCACCTGTCAGGTGAAGCAATCAGCGTCATTTTTTTCAAAAATGTCCACACCCCTGTACTCCATTTGGGCTTAAGAACTGAACAGGATGGATGTCCATCCAGTTTAACATACGTGTCTGTGGGGTGGGGATTCCATAGAGTGACTATGGCATCCACCCTGTAAGCCGAATGATCCCTGGACATGAACACATCCAACAGAAAAAGTGAAGTGTCCAGGTGGAGGGACCACTCCCTGGGTTCCAACTGTCTGCAGCTTAAAGCGGAGCTCCACCCAAAAAGGGGAAGTTCCGCTTTAAGGACTGCTCCCCCGCTCCCCATTAAGGATTGGCACCTTTGGGGAGAGGGTACCCGAATTTGACAGGTACCCACTCCCACTTCCTGTCCGATCACCTAGGCGATCGGAAACAGAAGGTGTCCTACCTCCCTATAGTCTTTTGGGACACGTGACAGGTCCCAGAAGACTACAGGACTATTCACGAAGCGCAGTGCTACTCGCGCATGCGCAGTGGGTACCCGGCTGTGAAGCCACAAGCTATCACAGCCGGATGCCCACACTGAAGATGCCAGCCTCCTGGAATACAGGACAGCCGGTAAAACTAGCTGCGGGGGACACACCACGGGACTGAGGGACAGGTAAGTCGCTGTTTTATAAAAGTCAACAACTACAGTTTTTGCAGCTGCTGACTTATTTTTTGATAGGTCGAACGGAACTCCGGTTTAAGATGTCCACTTGCCAGTTTTCCAAGAATGGAATGTACAGCACAAGCAGGGCTCAAACTTGAATCTCACCAAGTCTAAATGAGCTCTTCTTCTCAGTGAGTGGCCTGAATCCTAGTCCCATCTTGATGATTTATATGAGAGCTGTGGTGTTGTCGGATTGGACCCTAACAGGCATTTCAGAGTACGGGGGTCCAGTGCCGATGTGCCAAATAGACCTGAAATCCAGGATGTTGATCGGGATCCAAACTTCCACTGGTTACCAACTCTACTCAAGATGCCAAGTTGCAACAGTATTGAAAGAAACTGACTGAACAGGACTACCTT